ATGTTGTGAGTCGATATTAAAGGCAGCCATGTGCATAGCAATCGCTCTCTATTTTTGAGGGTACTCATTTGGGCCATGAGTTTTCATTCGGTTAACTCTTATTAATGATGCTGTCCTATACCCCGCAGAAGATGCCGATCGCTATGTCCATGGCTGTTTCTCTAATTGCTGTCATAGAACGTAGCGGAAATAAGTAGCTCTCTTCAATCTTCAAGCGACACTCCCCAGATGTGATCAGGAAACAAAGAGAAGCTTGCTTACTGGTATCTTTTATTAAACGGGCGAGAGGCGTAAGACCTGTATCGGTTTCTACACCTCACATCCTGACAAAGCGATACCGGCCCTTCTGTCTGTGACTGTGGTTTAAACGCTGTCATAGTTCGTATCACAACATGAAAAGGAGCTCTCTTCAGTCTTCAAAGGCTACAGGTGACATCGTAGAATTCTCTTCTGGGTTAGCAGGAGTCTTCATGTCTCTTGCTTGATAGGTATGAGGATGTCTCATAGGAAACCGAATAGGAAGTCTCCATTGTTTCTGATGATAGCAAGATGCAAACAGTTTCCCACAGTTTTCAACATGAAATGAATTAAGTTCTAGATAGGCTTGCGCTGCTACAGTGATGGATCTGTAGGCGGTGCAGCTTGCCGAAGAATGGCCAAAACCATTTTTCGAGAAAGCTCAGGTACTGGAGCCAGTGCTGCTGGTGCCATAGATCTACGAACCTCCGAAAACATGCATGAAATAAACTATGCAACGACTAGGCCTTTTTCATACTTACCAAACAAGAGTACTGAAAACCGTTGTTGTTCCAGAAGACACATAAATCATTACTTCCAGTCCTTGACAACGGTTGAAAGCACACAATTGTCTTGTGATGCAATATATCCTGTCCTGGACATCAGAAAACACTGTGATGCTCAAGAAGTTCCAAAATTTCCAGCCCTGAAATTCTGGCATCTATGGCCAGGCCGGGGGCAGATTCCTTAAAAGTTTGGAATTTTTTGAGCATAGCAGTGTTTCGTGCGTTTCAAGGGGTGGAAAAGTTTTTTTTTTCGAGCATTACATGTTTTGTGCGGTTGAACCGCACCTCGTCCGGGTGGATTTTCATGGCTTCGTGTGCGGCAAGATTTCAATAGGCTTGGAGTCACACTTGCTTGTGCACAGCTGTGCACCCATCACATATCGCATGTCCCTCTTCACTAGACCCTCTCATAAACACTCACTGGCTCAAGAGTTCGGCTGTGGGAGAACGAGACGGACCAGGCGGTTTTGGATTTAGTTAGGACCAGCATCAGCAGGTTTGGGGGCGGACAAGACACGCGCATCATGAGCATCAGCGGTGCTGCATGGCAGTGCAATAACTGGAGCCGCTACCCCATGACCTCGTTGTTGAGTGGTACATTAAGCAAATTCACTTCTTTTTGACCATGATCAATCTCAAAGCGCTTTCTGACCAGTTGGTTTTGGTTTTAGGACCAGCCCCGAAGCCGACTGATGTTCATGAGGCCACGGCTGATGCTCATGTTTCTACACGTCCTAGAGTTTCCAGATTCCAGATTTGCAGGATAAGTTTCCAGATTCCAGATTTCCAGATCTGCAGGCTCTAAGATTCCAGATTCCAGATTTGCAGGCTCTAAGATTCCAGATTTCCAGATTTGCAGGCTCTAAGTTTCCAGATTCCAGATTTCTGGAAATTTGGAAACCTTGGGGTGAGCAAATCTGGAAATCTGGAATCTGGGATCTCTGGAAACATAGTGCATGCAAATCTGGAATGTGGAAACCTATGTACTGCAGAAAGCCGGAAATCAAGAAATCCAGACTCCGAAAACCTGCAGACGTAGATCTTGGGGGGGGGGGCGAGCATATATATACACACATATGCATATACATACATACTTACATACACACATGCATACATACATGGTGTGTGCAACTCTGTTATGCCGTATACATACATGTGTTTATTGCATTGGTTCTGTTTATCTTCACATACATATATATATATATATATGTTTGTTTATAGTGACTGATAGTATTAACTGTGAACTGTACAGTTAATGCATACGAGCATATTATTAGGCATACTATTGTGTAGCTCGGTACAAGTCTTGTCAAAGCGGTGGCCTTGATTTAGCGTCGTGGCCGAAACATGATGTCAGTCAACCTGATGTCTTATGCTGGAGCTTCGATGGTGCCTGTATTTTGTAGAAATCTCCGTTGCTGCGTGCGACGACGTCGCGGGCAGCATTGGAGTCTGCCATTAACTGTCCATCTCCGCGTCCAGTTAGAGTCCAGTTCGTGTGGAGTTCAGTTCAGTTCTGGTGCCTGGCAATCCCAAATCCGAGCCTGAAGCGCCACTGAGCCTAGGCATAGATTCTGATTCTTACAGCCGCAATATTTAGGAGCCTCTTTTTGCCTTGTGTTGGGGTATTCATGGCTGAAGGCTAGTAGAGACTCGAGATGAAGTGTTGCTTTTGTCTTTGCGGTCTGTGGGGCGCC